TTGTGGCAAAGATGCTTTTACCCCACCTTGGCAGGTGGATTCCATCTTTTCCTAGCAGGCCTTCCTTGAACTCCTGGTCCAATCTCCAATTAAATCATCCTGATACACAACAATTATTATATTAACTTCGAAACACATTACAATGAAATCTAACTGTTGCTACAGACACAGTCTTAGCTGAAAGGCAGCATCTCTGTAATGTAATCAACCGTGTTTTACATGAACCCATTTCGTAATATTGACACTGTTCTCCTTTGAATGAGGGCTTTTGATTTTTCTTGGTAAAGAGTCAAAATAAGTTGGGAGAATTTCTTAAAAACTTTTGTTATAGCGGTTTGAGAATGTCAAATTCCTCGTCTGAAGAGACTCCGTGGTGAAGTTCTAACCCTTCAGAAATGGATTTTAATGGAAGTGTTGACACAGTATTAGCTATACCATCCCAAGTACAACACCAATGCATTATTCCCTTATAGTAACAGACAGTGTGGAAGCTGCCCTGTAATTTGGCACAGAACATTTCTATACTAATGTAATGTGACAATGTTATTATGTCTGCCATTTTCTATGCCATAATAGCAGTATTTGTTTCCACAAACATGCCATTACGTTCACTAATATGGCTATACTTAAGGACCGCCTGAGTAAAAACAGATGTAAACTTACAGAAAGCAGATAGTCTCTTACAGATTTGTTTTGTTTTGTTTTGCCAGAGTAATTTTCAACCCTGCCCTTATAAAAAAGCTGAATTTCCTAGGAGGATAGCTTTCACTACATAACCTGCTGTTAGAAATAGTTAGGATGTTCACGATGTATTTTCTCAGAGGAGTTGCAAGCAGCCATCCATTTGTAAGAACAGCCATTAACTGTCCTTTTAGTACAGTCTTTTTTATAATCCCATTTTGTGGGAACAACTGCTACTGGTCTGCTTTACACTTATCAATGTAACACTTCTGTCTATCACATCTAAAGAGCACTGTTGCCCTGAATCTCCAAGTGTCCTAGCACATCAGAAGAGAAAATGACAACCTGTATAGCATCTTGGAGTCAAAACTTCCCCCGCCTTGTTTACCTTCCAGTAAACAGGAAAGTGGGGCACACAGAATGTTCCCACCTGTGCCACCAGAGGCTTACGGTCTACGGGCATTCCATATGCACTGCAGCAGAGAACCAAGATTCACAACTAAGCAAAACTTTTGTGGATTAAACTGTGGGTGTTCCTGACTACAGCTGTAAAACTGCAGCCTTACCCTTGGCTGGCCCAGGCCGTTTTCCGTAGCTATATATTCCCCAAACTTCTCTCTCTCTCTCTCTCTAGCTGACACACCGAAGATACTCTTGGGAAAGAAACAACTTGCCTCACATGCTTATTTTGAAAGAACTTTTTTTTTAAAAATAATAATAAGATCTCCACTTTAAGCTGTGCACATTTTCACTGGGATTAACAGACCAAACAGCACATGATAATAAAATCTTCACTTTAAGCTGTGCACGTTTTCACTGGGATTAACAGACCAAACAGCACAGGAGTAATAATTTGCTATTATTGGAAAGATTAAAGCAACTTCTTGCACACTGTATTAGTAGAATACTAATATGTATAACACTTTTCAAGAAACTGTTTCTTTCATTCTGTCCTCCAAACTCTCTGATGTGGAAATGAAAGACAAGAATGATACACGTGAAACATTTATATGGTAAAGCCTAGGAACGATGCATGTCAAATCTTTGTGCGCTGAGGTTACTATGGGAAACACGCTGAAAGTATCGACTCAAATGCAGCAAGGTAATTTGTGCACATTTATGCAAATTGCAGAAGATACAAAACTGGGAGGAGTGGCTGATAGACCAGATGGGTGTGCTGCCATTCAGAGGGATGCTGACAAGCTGGAGAAGGCGGGGGGGGAGCTGACAAGAACCTCATAAAACAAAGGAAAATGCCAAATCCTGCACCTGGGGAGAAATGAGCCCACGTACCAGGACAGGCTGGGGCCTGACCAGCTGGAAAGCAGCTTTGCAGAAAAGGATCTGGGCATCCTGGTAGACACCAAGTTGAACAAGAGTCAGCAACGTGCTCTTGTAGGAAAGGCAGCCAACAGCCTCACCAGCGGCGTTAAGAAAAATGTCAAAGAAAGGTTGAGAGGTGCGATCCTTCCCTCTACTCAGCATTTTTGAGGTGCATCTGGAGTACCATCTCCTAGTGCTGGGCTCCTCACTGCAAAAGCAATGTAAACATACTGGAGTAAGTCCAGCAAAAGGCCTCAAAGCAATTAAGGGCTTGAAGCATGTCTGATATGAAGAAAGGCTGAGAGAGGAAGGACCTTTCAGCCTGGAGAAAAAAAGGCTCAGTAGAGACCCTACCAGTGTTTTAAAACACCTGATGGGTGGAAGTTAAAAAGACAGACTCTTCTCAGTGGTGCCCACTGACAAGACAAGAGGCAATAGGCTCAAACTGAAATACACAAAATCTCACTTAAATATAAGGAAAATGTTTAAATGTTTGTACTGTGGGGGTGATTAAGCACTAGCAGAGGTTGGCCAGGAATCTCACTTAAATATAAGGAAAATGTTTGTACTGTGAGGGTGATTAAGCACTAGCAGAGGTTGGCCAGAGAGGTTGTGGAGTCTCCATCCTTGGCGGTATTCAAAACCCAAACTGGTGAAGGCCCTGGACAACCTGTACTAGCTGACTCTGCTCTGAGCAGAGGCGTTAGACTAGACAATCTCCACAGGACCTCTCTCACCTCAGCCATTTTGTCGCTCTGAAATTTCTACTCAAACACCTTCCGTAGGAACTGGTGGAACAAAACAGTGGGGAAGCATTGGGGGTCAACTGTGGAACCAAATGCCGGGGTGGTTAATCCTGGCTGAGAGCCCACACTCCCACCCTGCTGCTCACCCACTCCCCCTGCTCTCACCTTGGTGTCCCCTCTGCTGTTTTCCTCACTCGTTTTGTTCCCCCCTCCTTCATCTGTCCGGCATTTCGATAAAAACAGCACACTTTTAAAGCATATATTCATAAAGGTGCCACCATCTGAGCTGAGGGACTCAGCCGTGTCCTGTGGTGGGACTATGCCCTCACGGAGGCCACCCTGCAGCCCCTGCTGCCCACACCTGGGCCCGGACATCCAATACAGGAGGGATGCAAGTTTCCATCAACTAGGTGCTTTTAACTCTTTCTCTTATGATAACTGACAATTATTTATTTTTTTTTTCAAGTGGTCGATTTTGGGGATTGGTAACAAAAAAATCTCTAGCTATGAGATTTTGACGTCCCGAATACTCCATTTTACATAAAACAGTACATTGAAATGTACTGTAAGTATTTTTTACAACCCTGTACTAAAGGTACTCCTTTACCATCATTAGAAATAGTATGTTGAGAATTATCTGAACATGTGCAATGTAGTCAGTAATGTTATCATACACGTGAGGCTTCACAGATTGGTAAATATCTTTTCTATGTTAAGTTCCTCAGTTCACCAAATTTATGCAGTAGCTGTCACTTGAACAAATAACTCACAGAATATTCCGGGTCCAGACATCCGTTGCTACTAAGACAAATTTATAAACAGAATTTTACCTGTGCTAGATGTGGAATATAGAACTTCTTATTCATAGTTTTTAGTTACTTTTAGAAGAACTCAAGGATCACAGAAGAACAGAAACAACAAATCAAAAGCAGAATAGAGACAAATCATTTTCTCCTGTAGCAGACAGGGGACCAAAGTCTTTAAAAATATATGTTTAGCAGTATGACTAATGGCTCACATTGCTGGGAAGGGCAAACACATATATAAAGTAAACCCAATCCTTTGCTCATATTATTGAAAGTTTTTTGATACCACATTTCATTTCTACCATGACAGCAAGTGCAGAAAAACACACCAAGAGGAGTCCTTTCCATAGTTTTCAAACATGGTCAAAAGGAGAAAGGTGGAACTTTCGTAAGAATAATTAGTATAGCTTTTACATGTAATTCATTTTCTAGCCTTGTGCTAGATACAAGGTGAGCCAAAAACTTTTCAGATTATAATTATTCTGTTATTTTAGGGTTTGTCCAAGAAGGCACACCTTGTGGCAGAGTGAAGAACCGGAACAAGACATAAAAATCCAAAATGCTTGACTAGACAGTGATGCCAACGCTATATACAATCAGTCAGTCATTCAGATAAATGTATACAAATAGAAATAAAAATTCTTAGCCTTAAAGAAATCCCCTCTTCATATGGATATAAAAATGTGCAACATTTGGATATTTAAAATGTGATGAGTTGAAAAGAAAACTCAGTAGCTCACTTTAATCAGCTACCGTGGATCATTATGGCTTTTGCATTACTATTCCACTTTCACTTCTGCATAATTCTATTTAGATCAATAAAGCTAGATTGGAATAAAACTAGATTATGACATTGGTGAGTCAGGCCCCTTATTTTTGACACATTTAAGCTTTTCCTGAAAGACCAGATGGTTGGTGTATGTTATGTAGTTTTATTCAGATGAAATTTAAAAGAACTAAAATATTCGGCATGCTTTTATTATTGGCAGGCTTAGTGTGTCACCTAAAGAAATCTACAAAGGGAGATAATGAGCCTTGTCAACTGTTTCACAGTAATTATAGCCCTCATGATATAATGCTACAAAATTACAATATAGCTTAAGATAATAAAATGTAAAAGGTTTTTTCAATCAGGGAAAAAACCCTATTTGTAACATTTATGCAGGAAAGGGATTATTTCAAACAGGTAACCATCAGTGTATTAGACATGCAATCAACTGCAATAAAACCAAATTCTGTCAGTGGTTGATACTGCACATTGTCCAAATTTTATCCTGCGTATTTTAGCTATGTTATTCTCACAAACCTTACAGATTTTCACCGGCTTTGTCAGTTCATTTAAATATCGAATATTAAAATAACACAAAGCTTCTGACACTTGCTTCAAAAGTTGCCTTAAAGCTCTTCAGCGTTCAGATCAGCATTTTTTTTTCAATGTACTTACGGTCATTGCATAAGGGTCCGCTGAAGGAGGTCATACTACAGTCACAACTGAATCCATCCCACTGCTGCAAGCACACCCCCTGGTTGGCACAGGAGTCCTCTTGGCACGTTGTGCTGGGGCCTGACGAGAACACACAAAAAAGGACTTGCACTTTGTCTTCCCAAAGAAAGGTGTTTCTCACTGGACCACATTAACTAGTTGCCAACATCTCAAATCGAATGAGCAGAGAGTTACCACGTACAACGCACGTAAACTTGCTGATTTTGTGGCAGCACGTAATATTTAAAAGGGTGGGTTTTGCTTTAGTTTTAAGATTGCTATGTCAAACACATAAGAAAGCACAAACTGAAGCAGAGTTATTCCAGGTACAGTGGGAACGTTAACTTTGTTGGAAGTTATTTGTTAATCTCGCGTCAGACCATTAACTGGCTGTAATGTTTTCTATAAAATTCATTATTTTCCTGTAAATACACTTCAAACAGCAAGGCCAGATGTCACAGAAAGCAAAGCTCTGGGAGATGACAGTAAAGGTTGAAAAATAAAATTAAAACAATCAAAAAAATAATGAAGCTACACTACACATTGTTTTTAATCCCACAAATTATTTTAAATGATTTAGGTCTGAAATTAAGAGGAGTTTGGGATTCTTTGGCAGGAATGTTGGCAAGTACTGATTCACATGCTTTAGGGATCCCATGCAGGTTCCTTTTCTAAGGGGAAATGCAGAAAAACCAGACTACTAATGAAGTAGCATGCCAAAATGTGACATATGCATGAAAAACAAAGCTACTCTACTTCTAGAGAATCATAACTAGACTACTGAAATATAAAGAAATTTGAAAAGGAATGATCAAAGCACTAAAGCAATCACTATACAAACATATTCAAGACTGAAAGCCTTTATGCAAGCTATGCTGGAAAATGAAGGTTCATGCAGCCCATTGTTTTAGAGGCGTGAAAGAAAAATCTCAAACAAAATAACACACTTTAGTTCTGAAATGTACAGAGCATTTATTGGAGAAATCCAACTGTGCATTGGGGGTTTCAGTCTTGTTTAATACACACAGGGCTATCTACCTTGCAAATCAGCTTTCATCAATGCAACTTTGTCAGCAAAATAAAAAAAAAGCAAAATATATTAAATGTTAGTAAGCAATATTGAAATGGCAGCAAACACAGAAAAAAAACATTCAGAGTAAAGTGCATGCTGCTGTTAAAGAGAGAAAGAAATGCCATATAATGCAAACAAATTAATGCTAATAGCCATAAATCTTCAGGCAAGCCAAAATAAGAAAGCAGTAATTTGCCAGTATTTTACTACAAATATAATGGTTAATTGAGCTGATGACATGTAATGAAGGAAAATTAAAAGGTTTTTTTTTTCTTCCTTGGATAGATATGAATGCATTAGTAGAGTAAATGCATGGCTGAATCCCGACTAGCCATTTGTCATGTTCAGATACACTGAATTCAAGAAGAATTAGCACCATCATCCTCTCTGGTCTTTCTTTTTTCTAGCCCTTTCTTCATACCTGGTGAATGAAGACTGAAATACAGGCCATGTACTAGAGATTACTATCAGCTCATACATACATTTCACACTGACTCTTGACACTACAAGGAAAAAAAACAACTGTTTCTGGGATTATAAAATTGTCCTAAATTTTTTTGAAGAAGGCACATCAGTATCCACTTGAAACTCCCACTGCTAGTCATTGCTGACAGGGCCAAACTGGGCCAAAATTTATATAAATATCCTAAATAGTCCTGTAGAGAGAAATCCACTTCACCCTTCTTTCACGGTACAGCTCCTTTAAAGATCTCAGTGTGGGATTTTCTTTTGATTTGCTGGTATTTCAGGAAAAAATCCATATCAATATGATTTAAGTCGGTTTAATGGCCACTTGCTTCAAATGAGGCACCACTAGAGAACACCTCTGACCCAGCGTGATTAAGAACAGAGACAGCGTACCCTGCATCCCTTTTTCAGCAAAACTATCAACTGCTCTATTTTCTCCTGTTCTAACAATAATAATAATAATACCTATAACCGATAGACTGCAGTAGGCAGGCATGGGGTAGTGGTTTCCTTTTCGTTGGAGTTCTGAGCCCAGAAGTTTAAACATTTGGGCATTACATCACCCTTTCTTGAGCTGGGGATTATAATGACAGAATCCCGTAGCTGACAAGACAAGACACATTTTTTTTCTCACCAGATTCTGCTACTCGGAAACTTTACAAAGATGAAGTGAAAATATCTGTAGGTGTCTAAATGTTATATATTCATGCATTTATTTACACTTTAGTTATGCAACGTTAAATTTCCTCATCTCTGCAAAAGTAGAGCAAAAGTCACAAGGACTTAAAAGTACAGCAACTGCAGGACCCTGTAGGCACACTAAGAAGTGCTTTTTAAAACACTCCTATTTGGAAAAAGTACAGATCAGATCTTGTTAAAAAGCCGGGTATTTTGCTTTTTATTATAATGATTCTTAGGACTTTGGGCTTATCTACTCATTATTCAAAAATTGCCATCAAGGCTAGCTTACATGCAAGAATTTCTTTTAATAAAAGCAGGTGTTTGAGTTTTTTAAAGAACAGAGGAGGACTGTTTAATGTCAGTAAATACTATAATATCTACCACAACAGGTTCATATTTTCCCATCTATATTACAGAACTAAGCCATTTAGTAAAAATATTGTAACACACTCTCTCAAGCACTCACCTTTTAATTCATGTTCTATTTCAAACTTTTAATTTATTCACTCTTTGCTGCAGACTTTTAATTGACTGGATTTGGTCTCTCATTTACATTTGTTTTATGAGAGGGCTTACATGTTATATATTACACAAAAAGCATTATTAAGTGTGTGTACAATATTTTACCATATGTTGTAAAAACAAATCTCATATCTCACCACCAAGAATCTTCATGTATTGTGAAACTTTTCATATAGTTCATTTAATAAAAAAATTATATTATATATTCACATGCATGCACACAGTGCCTTTTCCTCCTAAATATATTTAAGCTAATTTTTTTATCACTCTGTCATTTCTATAGTTCTGCTTTATTTGAAGTGTGTAAAAAAATTAAAAATACAATGGATTTGACTACAGAAAACCAGGGCTGACACTGATAACCTGGCTCTTGGGTTTGCTGTTAACAATTCGGAGAGCTCGTTAGCATATTTATGTTTCTAGCTGGTAGTTTCTATCTGCTCTAGCCATTGAAAATTTGTCAACAAGGTGGATTCAGCCAAGTGTAAATTATATTCAATGCTCAATGATAGAGAACGGAGCTCTCTATCCGCCTGTGGCTCAAACTTTGCAATTCAAGCCTTACGACTTGCCACACCAATCCTACATGTGGGTTTGCAAAAAAAAACCCCCAACATTCCAAAGAAAGAATTTTTAACATGCACTTGTGACAGAAAAGTTATTGAGAAATATCAATGTTTTCAGAACAGATAAAATTAATTAGTAGCACATGGTGGTTTCACAGTTTGGCAGAGAGAGAAGAGCTTTCACCTCAGGTTTTGGGGTTGTTTTAAAGCAGAAAGATGGGGAATACAGTCCCGTAAGAGCCTGAAGAACATCAAAACCAAGCGCCTCAGTTCTCAGGAAAAAGTCTGCAGTGGGCTGATGTCTTAGCGAAGGACATTTACCCACCATAACCAGTCCTTTGGGATTGGGAGTGAGCAGTGACTGATACTTATTTTTTGGAAATCACTTCTGCTGCTGTGTCCTGAGCTCTTTGGACTTGATATCTCAGGGGACTTAAGAGAGCTTTTGCATCCCATCAAAGCATGAGATTGATGCAAAACTGCTAAGCTCCATAAGGATGGAGGGACACATCCTCCCTGTGCACAGCAGCAGAGCTACGGGCAGCTTGAGGCACTTCCAGGAGGCAGCTGAACATGCAAGTGACTTAAAACATATTTTAGGTGTCAGAACAATTTTTTGTACATCTGATCCAGGGTCTGCAGACAAGAGATTGACAGATGGGGCAGACAGAAAGGCTTGAAATTAGCAAGTGAGATGGGAGAATTAACTTGCAAGGGGTTAAGCAGAAAGGTCGGAAGGGATTATTTCATTCCATTCTGTTAAAGATTTTTCTTCTGTGGGCAGAAGACTTTTGATGAGGCAGTTCTCTGGGAGCCAGGTAGCACATCTGGTTTGACCATTTTGCTTGTGTCAGGTGATTTTGGTGTTGGAAAAAGCTGACTCTCCACCAAAAGGGACAATATTTGTACAGCTTTATTAAATTGTTTGTAGCTTTATTAAATTCCCTGATAGCTGAGTTGTGCCACTGGTTTAAAAGGTGAACTTGCACTCTAGGCCTGTGGCAATATTTCTTTGAAGTACATAAAATTAATTTAGAAAATTACATAATTTCAAAAGAAGCTCTGAAATTCATAATGGAATTAAGGCATACTTTGACTCTCTGAAGGCATGGTGCAGGCATGGAACTTGCTAACGTCATTCAGAAAGCAGAATCTAATTTTCTAATCTCTGTGACAAGCTAATTAATATGTATTTTTTCATTCCTGATAGAAATAAACAGACACTAAAGCTACAGAAAAATAAGCTGTGAACTCTACATGCTATCAATAGAATTTATACTCTTAAATAAAGGTAGTAAGTAAAGAACAAAAAGGTTGCACCCGAACAAATGTACTGTAGGCACAAAAAAAGAGGAGAGAATTTATCCACCAAAAAGCTTTATCTTGTGAAGCTTGAGGAAACCCCCCAGCTCTGCTTGGATTTTTTCTTCAATGTCTATTTGCAAACTTAACAAACTTGATATCAAAAGTATCAAGATTCCAACTTGAAATTCTACAGTGTCATTTACACTTTTCTGTCCAGAGAAGAACAGCACTTGGGAGACGGGAGAACACATAAAATTGAACATAGCCTCAAAATTCAGAATTATGTGAATAAAATATATATGCAGGGACAGAGAACTGATTTAAATTATTCCATAAATCATAGTAAAAATAACGTGGGATTAAATGACAGCTGCAAAAATAGCTAGAGATTGACACCCCTGAAATACAAATACACCTATTTCTCTTCTCACTTAGATTACATGGTATTCCAGATGAGCCAATAAAGACATAAAAAATGTGAGATAAAACATATTTGGCTGTTACTGATTTTAGATAGGAAGGCTCATGACAATACAAATCTCAGGGGTGAGCAAAAATAGAGAAGATGGAAGATTGATCTTAAACAGTTTCACAAATTAACCTTGAATTAATCAACTCAAAATGTCTGCTTTAAAAATTGAATTAATTAGCTAATGTCTCAGCATTAGCTAATCTCTAAGTGTTATGAAGATACAAAGGACTTCACTGAAGCTAATTGTTATTGTTTCTGTCATTAATTAAAATACATCAGAAGTAAACAAAATACATGCAAAATATCTTGCCACTGGAAAAGGACGGAACCTACATGAAACATTTAAGAAGTTAACTCATGTTCTTAGAGCAAGCTCTGGGCTGCAGGGCAGGCACACACTTGTCTCCATAATACTAAAAAAAAGATGCAGTCTTTATATAAGAAAAGGTCAAACAAGATCAATTAGAAACAGGTAGAACAGTATCTCTATGTATCGAATGTACATATCAACAAAACACTGCAAGTTTTGTAAAATGCTTCCACTATGATATAAAAAAAAATAAATCAGCATATTTAATACCTTCACATCCTCTTTCTATTTGCCCATTGCAGAAGAGAGCATCTGAGATTAGATCAGGGAGCCGTCCATTCAAGTCAACTGATGCAAGGCAGCCTTGGAATCCCTCTTTTGCATGCACCAGTTTTGGCAACGACTTATACATTTCTTTGGCCACTCCTCCAATATACAAGTCACCTGTTAAGAAGAACCAAATATTAGATACAGGAAACAAAAAGACAAATGTAGAATCTTTGACCTGCTTGATCTTCTGGGGGTTTTTTTTGTGCTGAATGACAAGTATCTCAGAAAAACATTCTTCAAAATAAATGTAGAAGAAAACACCTATAGTATATATAACGCGAAAAGACATTGCAGGACGATATTTTTTCAACTGTGTATGTAAACTTCACATTTGTATGAGTAATTACTTAGAAGTACCTGGACATGTTATTTATGGGCCAGCTCATATATACAGGAAAGACGCATCTATTTTACAGATGAGGACTGAGTCACAGAATCTCCATCTAGAAATGCATCGAGCACTGATGCATGTCATTAGCCTACTTGGGGAGCCTGTGACCACAGATAATCCCAATTATGGATCCAGCAGCCTGAGATAAAAGGCAGTAAGTGGAGCACCAAGATCCACCAAAAGTTCACGTATCCGGAATCATCCATTGAAAAGCATGCCAAGAAATAAAGGGTTTAGAGACACGTCTAATGAGAAACTGCGGGATACCATTCTTAAGCAGTGAAATGACTGATTCTCCCCACCAAAATTCATACCCTGTGTCCATCATGTAGGAACAAGGAGAATGAGATGTCTTTAAACAGCAATCTGCACACTGAGAAAACAGAGTTTTATTGCCAACAATAATTCTGACGACAGACACGTATTATAACCAGCTCTCTTTGATGAACCTCAGGCAACTTACACAGGACCAAAAGCTAGTGCTTTTCTTCCTTTGAGGAATTCATAGACTTAATCTGCAAGGACATAACTATACTTTTCTCTTAAACACTGAGGGAAGGGGATGCTTTTTTTTTGTTTTACAACAACTCAGGCTGTGCCCGTGTTTGGTGTCTCTGGATGGCAGAACAGCCATCTTTCAAATGAACATAATCTACCTCCCTAAAGTGTTCCTTAAGCGTCAGACTATAGGTTTAAGCAGGTGCTTTCCATACCTGTTGTTGAAGACACACTGCAGAAACAAACCTGAGCTTTCCTTGGCCAGGGAGGGGAAGCACACTCGGTGTGAACACAGCCCTAGCTAAAAGGCTTCAGTCCTTCTGACAGGCAAGATGCACTCGATTTCTTCCATCACAGACAAAAAGGAATAAACCCATAGTTTTCTACATCTTGCATGAATTAACTGTTCTACTCTGTTATCCTCTAACTGAGAAAACGCAGCCATCTTTGCAAGCTTGGTGGGAGTGTTCTGAGCATCCCTACTGAGCTTTGTGTGCCCCTTCAGGCACACAAGAACAGGACCATTCCAGCTGCTGACAAGCACTGAACCTGTTGAAAAAAGGTGCTTATGGGGGCATCCAACTCTCAAGCATCACCCAGTGACAAAATTCTTACCCTACCTATGGATTACATCCTCACTGATCACATAAGCCCAGGGAAGCTGTGGCTGCCCCCTCCCTGGAGGGGTTCAAGGCCAGGCTGGATGGGGTCTTGAGCAACCTTGTCTGGTGGGAGGTGTCCCTGCCCAGGGCAGGGGGGTTGGAACTCCATGATCCTGAAGGTCCCTTCCAACCCAAACCATTCTGTGATTCTATGATTCTATGTTTTGTGCTAGCATAAATTTTCAAGAGACTACCTAAATATACATTCTAATCTACATTGTGCTTTCCAGTATGTCCCCCAGCCTGGATGATTTTGGAGTCTAGGCTACAGGATGTACCAAAAAGTATTTCTGCATCACCTCAAATGCAAAATTGTTCATCGCCTGAGTGTTTATCAAGCTTTGTAGGCAGATTTTCTAGCGACAGAACTCAGAATGTACTTAGCTATCATCACTACCCCACGTGTCTAATTTTAATCTCCCCCTCATCGGTATAAGCTGCAGTCACACCTTTTCCTGGTTCTCCTGGCAAACTTGCTTGTTCCCAAGGGAGCACAATTTAGTGTTGTTTGCAATGGTTTACAGTTTGCCTGCAAGGAAACGGCCTGAAACAAACAAATGTCTATCAGACTGTGAAAAATTTTTAGTTATTACATACCAACCCTAATACACAACTGTACTGGCATTAGTGAAATGAAGATAAAAAGTCACCCAACCAAAAGTCTTAGCAACCGTGATAGCATCATCTGCTAAGAAACTCAAGCTTTCTCCATTCTATGTAGATAATTTGAAAAATAAGATATTGCTTCTCTCTAGAGCTTTGAGGTACGGTATAAATCTCAGAAGCATAATATTAGACATAACAGATCAAAATATGGTGATCCATATGTTCCCACAAATGGAATGCAATTAATTCAGAGGAGAAAAACTGCTGTATTTTTCAACCAGCTGAACCGGTTGAAATGAAGTAAAAACTCTTGCCTCGTTATAAAGGTTCTTCACCTTTTTCTCTATTAAGACAGACCCTTCCAAGCTACCTGAAGTTCTGTGCTTTCAGTCATTGTCAAGCCAGAACACAGAGATATAATTCATCTCAAATGATTCCAACAGATTTAAAAGAGGGAACTCCAGAGAACAACACTAAGAAAGTTGCACCTATGCTAAAAAAGGCTAAACTTGGTCGATTGGACATGACACAGGCAACCTCTTCTTAAACCTCCCAACATGTATACTGTCCAAACAACCATTTTTATTCTGTGATTGGCTAAACCTTTACATTCTCAAACTTCCAAATTGATCCCTGGCTGATTGCCAAGATCCATCCCTCAAGCATATCGAGATCGCTGTATGTGGTCATACAGCAACTGTCAGTTATGATTAATGGCTAGTAAATGTCCAGGTCAGTGTGTCAGCATAGGAATCTGAATGCAGAGTATTTGCTCCTGAAAATATACACTGGAATATTTTCAAATACGTATCACCATACGTTGAGTCTAAATAAAACTGTAACTCTACCATTCACTTAGTTGCTTAAGACTATAGGTAATTAGAACTGATCATTATATACTATTGAAGACACAGTTTCCACAAACAAAAATATGGTCTGAGTAATATTTTAACTTTATTGATGTTCAAAAGAACTTCAGTTCTGCTTTTGGACTAGCACATATTGTGTGTACTGAGCAGCCATATTGACTATCAGAATTCTCCTTTTATAAACTATGTACAAGTACTTTTTATGACTATGGGCTAAACCTTTCCCAGATTTAATATCAAGTGTGGTTTGAGTTTGCTGTTGACGGCATAAAAACACACTTTGCCTCAGAGACCAAATTTTATTGAGGAATAGGCTCTGGAAGTAAAACTCAGGTTATTTTTTTTTTAAAGATATTTTTTTAAAAGCTATTTAAGTGTTATCAGTTGGTTATTTTTCCTGTAATTTGCATAGCTGCTTTTATTTCACTTAATCATGTGCTTCATTTTCACCTTCACCTCAATGTAGAAACAGTTTCCTACAAAACTCAATCCACTAGAAATTCAGACAAGGCAGAATTGCAGAAAATATTATTAATTAAAATATTTGTATAATGAATGCGCATTAGCAGAGGTCAGAAAAGATAAAACTTGTTCCTGTTCCCACTAAAGGGGATCAGAGGAATCAACATCGTATGATACAGATTCTTACGTTTTCTCTTCTTTTTCACCTATGTAAGTACAGCTTTACTACTGGATTTGTTACACGCTCTAAAACAGGATTAATCTCTTGTTGAGTATGTGCCTGTTTACCTTTATGAATTACATGAAAGTTATTTCATTAAGTAAGGTTCATCAGATCAATAGTATGAAATCATGACGCTATCTAAACTAGCTGCAGCCTAAATGTAATACTACTGCAACACTGATACCACTGAAAATGTGTGACCATGTCAGGAATTGTGCACAAGAGAAAATGCAGTTCTTCTATTTCTTTCTTTCAATAGATGAGCATTTTTTATGTGCATATAAAAAGGGATAAGCTTGTTTTACAGTCCTAACCATAGTTTCTGGGACTAAAGTTTAGATGTTATCTTCCATGCATTTATTTTATTCTTAAGTTTATTTTGATTTTTTAAAATGTATTCCTGAAAGAAATCTCCTTAAGTTTTTTTTTTTTTCCCCACAACCCTCCTGACTTTCTTTAATTTATAAAGAAAAATAACCAATTTATCTAAAATATATCAACTGGCATAAACAAAGTAGCAGGTAGTAAAGAAATGGGTGAGGGAAGAGAATGCTCCAAGACTTCCTTCTGGTCTCTGGACAAGCTTCAAATAAAGCATTTTGAGAGCAGATACTCCTTCCCCTCACAACTCTCTTCTTACTTGTATTAGGAGCCAGTACACAGAGTTATACCCTTTTATTTAGGGAGGGAGGATTGCTTCTGCTCTTCATTGTTCTGAAAATAAGTATTTTCAGGAAATAAGTATGCTACAGTGGTTCTCACTGGCACGTTCACTGCTGGCCAGAGGAAATCAACTGGAAGGCAGCACTTGCAGAGCTACATCTACATATCATGGCAATAATTGTACTGGTCAACCATAAGCACTGACAAAGACAAGAGTTTAGTGGGTTTAATTTATAGTTTTTACAGTAACACAGATCCTCATTTATTCCAATAGGAACTTTCCTACTTACACCAGTGTAACTCTTTTCTGACTTAAAGCTGATCTGTGCCTTGAGGAATAACTACATTTAACACAAAAACAAACTGCTAGCTAATAAATGAACCCAAGTTCTCAATGTATTCGTTACTGGAATCACACTTATGCAAAACCGCACAGAAAGCACACAACAGTGACTCACACACAACTGTTGGTGAAACAAATACTGCCAAATCCTTCTGTAATAACTCATCTCTTTTTTTTATCCCAGGTCTCTACACTTCTTCAAAATAAGAACTTTGCAAGTACTAAAGCAAAGAAATGTAAAATAAAAATTGACAATGCTGTTCTATTTATTTCTTTTCTGAATAAGTAATAGAAATATCTTATTATTTGGCACTACTGATGTTGCTGACAGGTCACCCTCATAGACTTTCCTCCTTTCATGATTCATGTGGACACCCGAGAATTCTTAGGTGCTGGC